AACTGTTTTATTATATACACAAGGTCTGAATTCACAGACTTTGCTTTTCGGATATTTTCAAGATTTTTCTATTTTGTTTATGTTTTTATCTTCGCTCTTTCGGCCGATTATTTTTTCAAAAATATATTCTTTTAACCATTTTAAATTTTAAAAATTCATTTGCTAACCTGTAAACAATTTTTGGGAGTTTTTTCATTGTGTTTTTAATCCTGTGAAGGCTATAAAAAGCGATAACTTGCCGTTTTCTCGTTTGCAAAACATTGTAAATATATATATATATATATATATATATATATATATATATATATATATATATATATATATATATATATATATATATATACATACATATATATATATATATATATATTAAGCAATTATTGGATGAGGCTGAGCATGATATCAAGAATTATTCAGACCGAGGTCAATGTTATCTGCCGAAGCGAAGCTGAGGCGGATAACATAGACCGAGGTCTGAATAATTCTTGATATCATGCGAAAGCCGAATCCAATAATTGTTTTATTATACATTTATTAAAGACATGAGAAACGTATAAAACGATTCCTGTTCATGAGGTAGGAAAAGTACAATTTGAATATCAAACACCTTGCACAAAGTCAAAGGTCAGCTAAATATTCTACTTCTATTTACCCCTTTGTGGCTTTTTTCGTGCTTTCACTATCCTTATCTGCCAATAATTTGGAGAGTTCACTTTCATTCAGCGAAGCAAATCTGCTGTAGGCCATTGTTTGTTTGTTTTTTTTCGCGCGCTTATAGGTTCAAGCTTTTGGCCGCGCAAGGGTTTGGGCACGAGAGAGTCCAATAATTTTTATTTTGGATGCAAGTTCGATCCAAAAAAACAATTATTGGACGCTGATGACGTCATCGGCGGAAAATACGTAATAAATGCCGAATACTGAAAATTAGCCGGTGCTTTCTGACCAATTAGAAACGAGAATACATATTAAATGTATAATAAAATATTTATAAACTGGTCGTTGAGCAAGATCGTGACTCTATTTTTATGACCATTCGGACCAGATGAAACTAGACTTAAGGGGTCACTTTTTTAGATACCCTGTAATTTAATTTCTTACCAAACTCCTGAGGTTTATAAGTGAATTCAATAGCGGCACTCCTCTCCTTATCGCTCTTCCGTCGTAGTTCCAGTTGTACCTGGACAGGTTTTTCAATGGCAGTATTCCAATATTCCGGAGTTTTGAACACAATAGCAAACTTAAAAAAAAGAAACGAACATTTAAATAAACATCGATAGGAATCAATGAAATGATAAAGAAATTCTAAAGCCATAAAATATCTCATGTCATATATATCGGGGTTTTTTGAAAGAGGAAAAAATTAAATTACTGTGCTGAGTGGTTATATTACTACCTGAAAAAACAACAAGCAGAAACTCGACGTCTCGAGCGAAGACTCTTCGTGGCTACTTAACTAACTCTTGACGCCTTCGCTCGAAACGGCTTCGCTCGAAACGTCGAGTTTCTGCTTGTTTTT